GATCATCAAGTTTGCAGACGACACTGTATTGACGATAGCCAATACTCCAGAGGACAGGAGTAGGATTCAGAACCATCTTCACAGATTAGAGAGAGGATGGGCCAAAACTCACACAATGAAGTTCAACGGGGACAAATGCAAGAGACTCCACTTTGGCAGGAAAAATGAAATGCACAGATACAGAATGGGGGACGATGAGGCCTGGCTCGAGAGCAGGACGTGGGGAAAACACCTTGGAGTCCTCATGGACAACAAGTTAAACATAAGCCAGGAATGTGATGTGGCGGCAAAAAAAGCCAATGGGATGTTGGCCTGCATCAATAGGAGCCTAGTGTCTGGATCTAGGGAAGTCATGCTCCCCATGCTCTCTTCCGCTTTGGTTAGACCACTTTACCTGGAATATTGTGTCCAATTCTGGGCAAGATAATGGCAAGCTGGAATGTGTCCAGAGGAAGAGGGTGACTCAAAGGATCAAAGGTCTTCCTCTTCCTTTCCTTCCTCTTCCCTTCCTTCATCTTCCCTTTTGCTTCCTCTTGCTTTCCACTTCCCTTCCTCTTCCCTTCCTCTTCCCTTCCTTCCTCTTCCCTTCCTCTTCCTTCCTCTTCCTTCCTCTTCCCTTCCTCTTCCTCTTCCTTTCCACTTCCCTTACTCTTCCCTTCCTCTTCCTTTCCTTCATCTTCTCTTTCACTTCCTTTCCTCTTCCCTTTCTTCCTCTTCCCTTACTCTTCTTCTTCTCTTCCTCTTCCTCTTCCCTTCCTCTTCCCTTCCTTCCTCTTCCTCTTCCCTTTTGCTTCCCTTACTCTTCTTCCCTTCCTCTTCCTCTTCCCTTTCACTTCCCTTCCGTTTTCCTTCTGCTTCCCCTCCTTTTCCCTTCTCTTCCTCTTCTGTTCCTCTTCCCTTCCCTTCCTCTTCCCTTTCCTCCACTTCCTCCTTGCTTAGAGGGCTCTTTGGTGCATGTGATTTGGCTCCCTGATTTGGGCTCCTGGCGTATAGCAGCAACAGCATCAGCAGCAGTGAGTGGAGCGCTCCCTCTCACCTGCACAAAGTGAACGGGAACTTGAGAGAGTGCTGCACACACAGATAGATAGGTACACAATTGACACACCGCATTCGGGGAGAAGAGAGTGGCCTGGAAGGGGTTTCCTTGGGGCCTTCTGGGGATTCTTGCATTGTGATGAGGACTTAATGGAGTTCGTAATGCTCCAGAGATAAACGAGCGGCAAGATGTTTGAGCCCGATACGTTCCTTCCTTCCTTGCCTGGAGGAATCATCTTGCGATTCTGACGAAGAGCGAGAACTTCATTAAGTGCATTTCATTGTCCTCATTCATTCACCGCCGTCTGCCCGCAAGCGACGCCGGATGCCTTTTTCGGAGGTACCTTCCCCATTCTCCAGGATCTAAGGACACACATTTTGCCTCCAAGGATGTAGGGCAATGGGGCAGGCGGGGAGCGGAGCTGGGACACGGCGTCGGAAAAGACTCTAAAGAAGAGAGTCACCAAGCATTACACCAACCCTATAGCTCAAGGCAAACGCCCTGAATGGTTTGGGACCCGCCTACCTATGTGACCGCATTTCTGTGTACAAACCCACGCAATCTCTTCGATCATCTCGCTCTCGCCCCTTCGCAGGTGCAATCGGTGGGGACGAGGGAGAGGGCCTTCTCTGTGGTGGCCCCATAGAGACTCTAAAACTCACTTCCTAAGGATATTAGGCAAGCCCCCACATTGGCAGTCTTTAGAAGGAGTCTGAAAACGTGGCTGTTCCAGTGTGCCTTCCCTGAATAATAATAATAATAGTAATAGTAATAATAGTAATATTATTAATAAATATAATAATAATAATAATAATAATAATAATAAATACACTTTATTGGAGCTGTCTTCATAGACCTGGATGATACCGTAAACTACGGTCTCCTCCTGAGAAAAATGTATAATATCACCAAGGACGACCACCTCACCCGCCTCATAGGAAACCTGCTACAAAACAGGAGCTTGTTTGTTGAGTTCCCGGGCCAGAGAAGCAGAGGGCGGAAACAGAAGAACAGCCTGCCTCAGGGGAGTGTGCTTGCTCCATCCATGTTCAACATCTACACAAACGACCAGCCACTGCCAGAAGGGACAGAGAGTTTCATCTACGCTGATGATCGTGCCATCACCGCTCAAGCAGGGAGCTTTGAGATGATGGAACAGAAGCTCTCCGAAGCTCTAGGTGCTCTTACTGCCTATTACAGGGAAGACCAGCTGATCCCTCATCCATCTAAAACACAGACATGTGCCTCTCATCTCAAGAAGAGACAAGCATCCCGAGCTCTGAGGATTATTACCTGGGAAGGAAGGAATCCCACTGGAGCATTGCAGCGCACCCAAATCCCTGGGAGGAGTCACTCTGGACCGTGCTCTGACCTACAAGAAGCACTGCCTGAACATCACGCAAAAAGTGGCCGCTAGAAACAATATCATACGGAAGCTGACTGGCACAACCTGGGGATCACAACCAGACACAGTGAAGACATCTGCCCTTGCGCTAGGCTACTCTGCTGCCGAGTATGCATGTCCAGTGTGGAACACATCTCACCACGCTAAAACAGTGGATGTGGCTCTTCATGAGACATGGGGTGTCTGCGCCCTGCACCGCTGGAGAAACTACAGTGTTTGGCTGGTATCGCACCACCTGACATCCGCCGGGAAGTGGCAGCCAATAGCGAAAGGACCAAGGCAGAGACACCTCCAGCTCATCCCCTGTTTGGGTCTCAGCCAGCACGTCAACGACTTAATAAAATATATACGTTAATATACATAAAATAAAACAAAACCGAAAACACCACTAATAAACAATAATAACACAATTACATACAACAAAAGACAACATAGCAATATAAAATTACAAGAAACACATCACAATAACATGGGCGAGCTACATGTAATGGATACAAGAAAACTGATTAAAAACAGATTAAAATAAGGGAGTAATTTATTATTTTACTCCCTTTATTGTTATTGGAAGGATATGTAAGCACACTTATATTGAAGAAGGTTAGAATAATGGTTTAATTCAGAGTTGTAGCTGAAGTGTGATGGTGCTCCAAGTGTAGTGTCTTGGTGGTGGGTCCGCAGGTCGCTGTGGAGCCCTATTGATCTGCATGTTCTCCATCAGTTTCGAGGTGAAAGGTGGTTCCGGTCAGGGTTGGCTTGTCGCGCCTTCTTCCTCTTGGCACGTTTCTCCCTTTTGTCCTCCATTCCAGCCTCTTTGAATTCTGCAGCACTGCTGGTCTCAGCTGACCTCCAGTTAGAGTGCTCAAGGGCCAGGGCTTCCCAGTTCTGTGTGTCTATGCGACAGTGTTTCAGGTTGGCTTTAAGCCCATTGTAGTGAAATTGCTACTCTATGTTAAAGTTTTGGTGTATAGCTCTATGTGTACATATGGCAGATAGGGAAGAATAGGCACAGACAGGGTAACAACAGCAGAGATAGGATTCATTTGCATATGTGAAGCCGATTGGTCATGTGCAGATTAACATAGGCCCAGGATTTGAAAAGGCTGTTAGGCCAAAATGACAGTTGGGGAGAGCAGAGCTGAACATTCCAAAGGGGCGGAGCCAAGGTTTTGAAAGAGGCAGTTAGAGTGAGAGAGTTTGAAAATGACAGTTAGGAATCTGTGTGTGAAGAGGAGAGTTGGTTTTTGAGTGTCTGATAGAAATAAGCAATTATGAAGATGTGTTAAAGTCTTCTGATATAGAGAAGCAGTTAGTTAAATAGAGCTCAAGTTTTAAGGAACATAAAGAAGGCTAGTGTTTCCTTAGTTCAGAATATAATTCAGCCAAGAGTGTGTAAAGCAAGTAACATGTTTGTGAATCACAGTGATAGTTTATTCAGAAAAGTTAACCAAGTAAATGATACTGACTGTAAACCTCAAGATTGCAACAAAATACAAATGTAACCACATTTATAACTTCTGGAGCCAGAAGTTATAAATAAACTGTGTTACTTGGTTATACACAAGAGCGTTTCATTGCCTGCGATATAAAGTACAAAGGTTTAACAGCACACAGAAAGTCCCAACCATTATAAAAGAAGAAACTGAATCAGTATAAGACAGCAAAGCAGATTTTAAAGAGGAAATAGTCTATCTCCCTCGCCTAACCCATCTTTAAATCTCTTTTCCTCTCCACCAAAATTACGTTTCTCGTTCTTGAGTTCAGGGCATAGTAGCTGTTTTGGGAGACGGTGATTGGGCATTCTTGTCATATGTTCTGCAGTTGATGGTGGTGGTGATGGAATGTGAGTATTCTAGTGGGTTTGGTAATCTGTAAGTGGGAGTTCATGGGTGAAAGCAATTAGGGGTGGAGGTGTGCAGGAGATGGGTTGCAGATGGGTGTTACTGGATTTAAGGAGCTAACCTTGAGACTGATCTTTGGGAGAAAAGTATCTGTTGTATTTTGGTGGTGGATGCTGCTGGTTTTTCCCCCAGGTCTGTTGGATTTTTCGGTATCTTGACCTGTCTCCTGTAATCTTGGAACCCTGGAACCTTGAACCTTTGGACTGGCTTTTGACTACAGTATAGACTTTTGATCCCTGGACTCTGTTATTGAACTCTTGGCGTTTGACCACTGGACTGGACACTTTTGACTACCAAGTTATTTTTGCTATCAATTTTTGTTTACTCTATAGCTGCGTGCTATCTTTATGTTTTATGTTTTGATCTATTAAAACAGCCAGCAAGTAAGTCCAAAGGTGATCTCCAGATGTTCATGAAGACTCACATTTGCCAAAAAGGTTATGACATCGGGTTGTTTATGTTTTTTTGGGCTATATGGCCATGGTCTAGAGGCATTTTCTCCTGACGTTTCGCCTGTATCTATGGCAAGCATCCTCAGAGGTCGTGAGGTTATGACATCATTTGTCTTTTCAGAAAATGTTATAAATGCCATTTTCCCAGAAGTATTTCCAGAGTTTCCTGATGCAAATGACTCACATTTATGTTTCTCTCCTCTTTTCAGATGATCATGGGAACAGCAATGGAAGTCATGTAAAGATCTTTTTGCCGAAGAAGCTGCTTGAATGTCTACCAAAATGTTCCAGTTTACCAAAAGAGAGGCACCGTTGGAACACAAATGAGGTAGATAGATCGGATTTACGTTAGTATTACACAGGCGGGTTTGGGAATTGGAAGGATGTTGAGAACGACTCCACTTTCTTACAGGCATTTTGCAAGCAAGGGTTGAGACTTAATGGTATTTATGGTTCCTATCTTCTCTCTCTGCTTTGGCAACTGTTCGGATATCTTGCATTGAAAATGTGTATCTTTGATCGCCTTTTTGATAGTTGTTGTCATCAAATAGGGTTCTTTTGCACCAGAATGTATATACCGTATTTATTTATTAGTCGTGTCGGCGCAACCAGTCAATTGTATTACATTTTTAACGGAACAAAACAAACAAACACACAAAATACAAAATTTGGGAGTTTGGTAGTTGATTAAATGTCTTTTGAGCAGTATCTAGCCCCTTGGAGTGCCTCTGGTGTTGCCACAAGAAGGTCCTCCATTGTGCATGTGGCTGGGCTCAGGGTGCATTGCAGCAGGTGGTCAGTGGTTGGCTCTTCTCCGCACTCGCATGTCGTCGATTCCACTTTGTGGCCCCATTTCTTGAGGTTGGCTCTGCATCTCGTGGTGCCAGAGCGCAGTCTGTTCGGCGCCTTCCAAGTCTGTGTGCCCAGAGGGGAGTCTCTCATTTGGTCGTTCTTCTGTTTCCGCCATCTGCTTCTCTGGCCCTGGAACTCAACAAAAAAGCTCCTGTTTTGTAGCAGTTTTCCTATGAGGTGGGTGAGGTGGTAGTCGCCCAGTTTTCTGTGTGCCCAGGGGGGAGTCTCTCATTTGGTATCAGCCATGGGTTGAGGTTCTGGGTTTGAGCCTGCCACTTTTGGACTCTCGCTTGCTGAGGTGTTCCAGCGAGTGTCTCTGTAGATCTTAGAAAACTATTTCTTGATTTAAGTCATTGACGTGCTGGGTGATACCCAAACAGGGGATGGGCTTGAGGTGTCTCTGCCTTGGTCCTTTCACTATTGGCTGCTACTTCCCGGCAGATGTCAGGTGGTGCGATACCAGCTAAGCCGTGTAGTTTCTCCAGTGGTGAAGGGTGCAGACACCCCGTGATAATGCGGCATGTCTCATTAAGAGCCACATCTACTGTTTGACCCTGGGCATGCGTACTCAGCAGCAGACTAGCATAGCGCAAGGGCAGATGTCTTCACTGTGTCTGGTTGTGATTCCCAGGTTGTGCCAATCAGCTTTCGTATGATACTGTTTCTAGGACCCACTTTTTGCTTGATGTTCAGGCAGTGCTTCTTGTAGGTCAGAGCACAGTCCAGAGTGACTCCCAGGGATTTGGGTGCGCTGCAATGCTCCAGTGGTATCCCTAATAATAATAATAATAATAATAATAATAATAATAATAATAACACTTTATTTGTACCCCACTACCATCTCCCCAAGGGACTTGGTGCGGCTTACATGAGGCTGAGCCCAAACACAACAATACAGGCAATAATCACAACAATACACGCAATTAAAATAAAACATGAACGATAAATATATAACATTAACAAATGCTCCAGTGGGATCCCTTCCCAGGTGATCCTCAGAGCTCGGGATGCTTGTCTGTTCTTAAGGTGAAAGGCACATGTGTCTGTGTTTTGATGAGTTCGGGAACAGCTGGTTTCCCCTGCAATAGGCCGTAAGGGCACCTAGAGCTTCGGAGAGCTTCTGTTCAACCATCTCAAAGCTCCCTGCTTGAGCGGTGATGGCACGATCATCCGCATAGATGAAACTCTCTTTCCCTTCTGGCCGTGGCTGGTCATTTGTGTAGAGGTTGAACATGGATGGAGCAAGCACGCTCCCCTGAGGCAGGCCGTTCTTCTGTTTCCGCCATCTGCTTCTCTGGCCTGGGAACTCAACAAAAAAGCTCCTGTTCTGTAGCAGGTTAGTCAGAACTCATTGCTATTTCTCTAAAGCAGAGTGGAGGGATATAGTATGTGTACTTTATTAAAGTGGTGGCAAGTGGCGTGATTTATAATAGCATTTCTCTATAGCATGCATACTCAGCAGTGTAATTTCTCCAGTGGTGTAGGGCGCAGACACCCGGTGATAATGCGGCATGTCTCATTAAGAGCCACATCCACTGTTTTAGCGTGGTGAGATGTGTTCCACACTGGGCATGCGTACTCAGCAGCAGAGTAGCATAGCGCAAGGGCAGATGTCTTCACTGTCTCTGGTTGTGATCCCCAGGTTGTGCCAGTCAGTTTTTGTATGATATCGTTTCTAGCACACACTTTTTGCTTGATAATCAGGCAGTGCTGCCTGTAGGTCAGAGAATGGTCCAGGTGACTCCCAGGTATTTGGGTGCGCTGCAATGCTCCAGTGGGATTCCTTCCCAGGTAATCATCCTCAGAGCTCGGGATGCTTGTCTGTTCTTAAGTTGAAAAGCACATGTCTGTGTTTTAGATGGGTTAGGGATCAGCTAGTTTTCCCTGTCATAGGCAGTAAGAGCTTCGGAGAGCTTCTGTTCATCTATCTGAAAGCTCCCTGCTTGAGCAGTGATGGCACGATCATCAACATAGATGAAGCTCTCTGTCCCTTCTGGCAGTGGCTGGTCATTTGTGTAGATGTTGAACATGGATGGAGTGAGTACGCTCCCCTGAGGCAGGCCGTTCTTCTGTTTCCGCCCTCTGCTTCTCTGGCCCGGGAACTCAACAAAAAAGCTCCTGTTTTGTAGCAGGTTTCCTATGAGGCGGGTGAGGTGGTCGTCCTTTGGGATACTATACATTTTTCTCAGGAGGAGGCGGTGTTGGTTCACAGTATCATAAGCTGCTGACAGGTCTATGAAGACCGCTCCGGTGATCTGCTGCCTTTCAAAGCCATCTTCTATGTGCTGAGTCAGGTTCAGCACTTGCAATGTGCAGCTTGTGCCTTTCCTGAAGCCAGCATGGGTCTATTTTTTCCGTAATTCTATGCAAAATAAGTCTCTCCAGAACGTTGTCGAGGTGGCACAACAGGGAGATGGGTCTGTAGCTTTTTGGGTCATGACGGTCTTTGCCTGGCTTCAAGATGGCGATGACTCTTGCTTTCCTCCAGATTTTGGGGATCTGACAGGATGCCGTGCCGTTGTTCATCCGCTCCAGCAGCCAGCGCCTTGCTTTTGGGCCAAAGTTCTTGATGTGTTCCATCCGTAGGTCATCCAGGCCAGGTGCTTTGCCATTTTGACATTTATTGAGAGCCATGAAAAGTTTACCCTGGCCGCCTTTGGAATTCGTGCCATGGCTGAAGACGCTTGCGGTTTCGTCTGCTTTGGCCGAGAGCGGTCGGGTTTCTGTCTCTGAAATGGCAGTCCGCCTTCCTCGTCCCTTCTCTCTCTGCGCACATGTCTCTGCACACACACACACAGATCAACACATGCAAAGCAGGGCTTCCCGTCACCAGGGATGCCTTCTCTCTGACTGATGTGTGAATGCCCGCCGTTGCCAAGATGTCTGCTATCGGAGCAGGCCAGCTGGAGCCAGAGGCGGGCTACCTGGTAGGAAACACTTGGCCGGGAGAGAGGGATGCCGGCTCTTTTCCAGCACCACATTGCCCAGTGGATTCTGGGACACACACCGCCAGAAAGAAGGGAAGGGGTAAAGAAGCACGGAAGGAAAGAGAGAAGGAAGGGAAGAGGTAGAGAAGGAAGAAAGGAGAGAAAGAGGGAGGGAAAGGAAAAAGGGGGAGGAAGGAAAGTTAGAGAAGGGGAAAGAAGGAAGGAAAGAGGGAGCGAAGGAAGGGGGAAAGATGTAGAGAAAGAGGGAGGGAAGGAAAGAAGGAAAGAGAGAAGGAAGAAAGAAGAGCAGGAGAGAAAGAAAAAGGGGGAAGGAAGGAAAGAGATAGAGAGGGAAGAAAGGAGGGGAAGATGTAGAGAAAGAGGGAGGGAAAGAAAGAGAGAAAAGAAAAAGAGAGACAGCAGAAGAGAAAGAAAAAGGGGGAAGGAAAGAGATAGAGAAGTAAGGAAGAAGAGAAGGAAAAACAGGAAGGAAGGAAGGAAAGGAAGGAAGGAAGGAAAGAGGGAGCAAAGGAAGGGGGGAAGATGTAGAGAAAGAGAGAGGGAAGGGAAGAAGGAAAGAGAGAAGGAAGAAAAGAGAGACAGCAGAAAAAAAAGGGGGAAGGAAGAAAGGAGATAGAGAAGGAAGAAGAGAAAGAAAGAGGAAGGAAGGAAGGAAGGAAGGAAGGAAGGAAGGAAGGAAGGAAGGAAGGGGAGAAGGAAGCATGGAAGCAAAGAGAGAAGGAAGGAAAGAGGTAGAGAAGGAAGCAAGGAGAGAAAGAGGGACGGAAAGAAAAAGAGGGAAGGAAAGTTAGAGAAGGAAGGAAGGAGAGAAGTAAAGAAAAAAGGGAAAGAAGGAAGGAAAGAAAGAGGGAAAGATAGAATGAGGGAGGGAAGGAAAGAAGGAAAGAGAGAAGGAAGAAAAGAGAGACAGCAGAAGAGAAAGAAAAGGGGGAAAGAAGGAAAGAGATAGAGAAGGAAGAAGAGAAGGAAAGACATGAAGGAAGGAAGGAAAGAAAGAGGGAGGGGAGGAAGGAGGGAAGGAAGGAAAGGGAGAAGGAAGCATGGAAGCAAAGAGAGAAGGAAGGAGAGTTAGAGAAGGAAGAAAGGAGAGAAAAAGTGAGGGAAAGAAAAAGAGGGAAGGAAAGTTAGAGAAGAAAGGAAGGAAGGAGAGAAGGAAAGAGGGAGCGAAAGAAGGGGGAAGAGAGAGAGAGGAGGGAGGGAAGGAAAGAAGGAGAGAAGGAAGAAAAGAGAAACAGCAGAAGAGAAAGGAAAAGGGGGAAGGAAGAAAAGTTGATAGAGGAGGAAGAAGAGAAGGAAAGACCGGAAGGAAGGAAGGAAAGAAAGAGGGAGAGGAGGAAGGAAGGAAGGAAGGAAAGGGGAGAAGGAAGCATGGAAGCAAAGAGAGAAGGAAGGAAAGTGGTAGAGAAGGAAGAAAGGACAGAAAGAGGGAGGGAAAGAAAAAGAGGGAAGGAAAGTTAGAGAAGGAAGGAAGGAGAGAAGGATAGAAGGAAGGAAAGAGGGAGCAAAGAAAGGGGGGAAAATATAGAGA